GGCACCTTATCCCCCTGTCTCCGTGAGCAGCTTCCAGTGAAGCCGCTGTCGTGAAGCCTGCTTAACAGAGGCAAAAAACAGCTTTGTTCCCTCCGCTCTTCTGGGCTAAGAAATGGAATAAACACTTGGAGAAGCAACCACCTGCTCCTCCAGCAAACGTCAGTGGAACACTTTGCCGGGGGACAGGCGGAGGGGACACATAAAACCAGCTCAGGGGCCTCGGGGAAGGAGTCCGTAACTCTTTCCGAGACCAAAGCCCCTCTGCTTTATAACCTCAGTGGAGAGAAAGCTGCATTCACCAAACCACAGGGAAGGCTGATGGCACAGCGTTTTCCACATAAAGATGATCAAACACCGGGCAAGAACTTGCTCCACTACTGTGTTTGAGCTTCCCTCTGCAGAGGAAAGACCTACAAAGACTCCAAGTTCAGCAGTAAAGGTGGTCATGGAGGAAACTACGGAATGGAAGAGCCCACAGCGCTCTCTGCCCAGGCTTTCCCAAAGCTTAATGTCTTCAGAATACTTTTCTCTAAACGCCATAAATGATGATGGAAACAGCCGCGGGGGAGGGGCAGGGCTGGGTTATGAGGGCAGGGAACTGCTCGGGGAATTTGCATTTAAATTGAAGACTTTGCCGGCATTCTTATTGCAAAACCAAAAGTATTCAGCAAAGGCCCAGGAAACTCAGTCCCCAGGGAGAGACAGGGCTCACTAGAGAAGAACCCCAAAGGGACACTCAGCCTCTGCTGGCCTGTGGCTTGGTAAATGCCCAGGGAGCCAGGAGAATTCACATGCCGGCAAGGGGGACGCTTCCAGGCTCAGACGCTCGGCCATGGGGGAGTCTCAGCGGAAAGCTCTGGAGCGAGATTTTTACGCAGTTCGAGGAGCTGACCCCTGAGATCCTGCAGTCCCTGTCCTCCAATCCGGGCAGGGTGACTGAGTCACTGGCAGCCCTGATGGCTTCCAGCTGTGGGACGGCCCGACTGGCTTTCCTGAGGAACGCAAGGCAACAATTTACAATCCGCTCCATCAGCAGAAATGCTGATGTCTGGCTTTCTGCAGCCAGTTAAGGAAAACATCTGTTGCCCAGGGACTGAGAAGGAGCATTCTGGCCAAACTAGAAGAATAAAAATGAAATCTGCATGGAAGAAGCATGTCAAAACTAACAATGGCATGAGATTCTACTTGTGAAATAAATTCACTCTAACTGTCACTCAGCAAACTTTCAACGATGACTCTGCAAGGTGCTTTACTAGATGTAAAGACAGAAGTAAGAACAGTCTCTCATTACCACAGGGGAAGCCAGCAGTGCCAGAGGTGCTGCTAATCATGTGTGTTATGCTCTTATAAAGTATTATAGGAAGTCAGATGGACCCGGGCCCTCGAAGGAGCCAGTGCAGCAGACAAGATACTTTGGGACTGTGGGAGAGACAGGCACCTCGGCTGTGGGCTGGAGCTCGAGATAAAAGATAAAACAGGCACCCACATACCTCCCTAAGGATAAACATCAGGGATTGATATTCTAAATAGGTATCTATCACCTTGAGAAAGCCAGAAGAGCCACTAACCCAACCCCCTTCAGGAAGAGCCCCTGTTCTGTTTCAGGTACCCCTGCTACTGACTTGCTTCCCCATTTGATCACGATGTAATCAATGTTACCTGAGCAGTTATACTTCTAATCCTACTGGTTGACCATAGCTTTGTCTCACCTCATGACCACCTTGCGATTTCCCATTTTTCTCACCTTGGACCTGCCTTGCGTCGTGGATTTGCTCTTATAAAAATCCCTAGAAAAGGCAGGCAGGGTCCTTAGCAACCCATTTGGGACCCCTCCCTCCCCTCTCTGAGACAGAAGCCTTCTTTCCCCAATAAATATATTCTGCTTTTAACCTCCATTGTTCCTAAAATTCATTCTTTGATTTTAGAGAACACGAACTTGTACTGGACATCTAGCAGGTCAGGAGTTTCTTTCCCCTGTATCACTAGTATATACCAAAAATTGCTCTAGATACTTTTTTTGCATTAACTTTTTAAATTCTCATGCAGTACAAAGTAGGACTTATTTTTATCCTCATTTTACTATAGACAGCTAAGTTATTTAAAAATATTAGACACAGTCAGATCAGAAGTCAGTTCAAAATGACCAGTGGCTGGTGGGGCATTCGTTGAAGGTCAGGCCTCAGGACGGAAGAAATGACTACACCCACATAGTTCCCCCAGGGATGAACAGCAGCGACTGATATTCTAAATAGGCATCAATCACCCTCCCCTCCAGAAAAGGTCCTGTTCTTCCCATATACACTTGCTTCCCTATTTGAGCCCCGTTTAATCAATATTATCTAAGTGACTATACTTGTAATCTTATTGGTTGACCATAGTTTTGTCCCACTTCACACCCAATTTGTGATTTCTCTCTCCATGGATGTTACCCTTGCAACTATACTTCTAATCTTATTGGTTGATTATAGTTTTGTCCCACCTTAGATTCACCTCACTTCATGGTTTTTCTCTATAAAATTCTTAAAAAGCGGCAACCCACTGGTTGTCCCTGGCAACCCACTCAGGACCCCTTCTGTCTCTCTCAGACAGAAGGTTTCTTTCTCCCAATAAATATAGCTTTCTTTCCCTCAAATACATTCTATTCTTAACCTCCATTGTTCCCAGAATTCATTCTTCAGTTTTAGAGAGCACAAACTCAGTATATCGGGCCTCCAGCAGGTTAAAAGTTATAAATTTCCTTTATATTATTTGGATTATTTGGAGGTCCTATATCATCCCCAGTGCAATTTTATGGAGGAGAAAACTAACTATTATGGGGGGAAACTAACTATTGGCAGGAGAAGCGAGGGTTTGAATCCAGCTAGTCCAGCTCTACCTTGATAGGTGCATGATTAAGATCTGCAAAAGAGAAGACGAAGTCCAGCTGCCGGCTGAGAGAGCAGGCACCTGGGTAAAACTAACTGGGTCACAGGAGTTTACCACGGGGAGTGAGAAACGTTCCTGGTAGACAAAGGACTTAAAAACCCAAAAATAATTTTATAAGACCAGCACACAATTTTACACTTCTTCCTTGCTAAACACAAGTAGGAACAGAGTTTCGATATTCTTTGCTTTTGGAAAATGGAAGGAGTGCAGCCGAATGCAGGAGCATGTTCCCACAGCCAGCACTGCGGCAGCATTTGAGAGCTGGGTCCAAACCCTGCACAGCGACACCACGAAATAGAAGGCCTTGCTTCAGGCGAGGATCAGAGGACCAAAGGGGAAACACTGAAACTGAGACCTCACCCAACCAGTCTGGCAAGGAGGAGGCTGGGGGAGGGGCGGGCAGAGCAGAGGCCCATGTGTTCCAGAGGGCTCGTTCTCAGGGTCCAGCAGGTGCTTTCCTCAACGTATTTTACACTTCCAGAAATTAGCGATGGCTTTGTTCATTGACGGACGAAGGCCTCCCAACACCCTTAAAGGATATGAATCCCACAGCAAGAAAATCAGAAAGGCAAAGAGGTTGTCTGCAGTGCACCATAAATTGGCAGTTTTAAACATAGCTATTCTGAGATTTATCTTTCCCTGAGACACTTAATTCACACTCTCTGAACAATGTTCTTTGAAATAAATATAATTTACTGAATCATATCCCATAAATGATTAAATAATGGGTTACCACTGTTAATGCCAACTATTAAATTTCAGTCACTCTAGCCAAGAGGAATAATGGACAGATTGTCTTCACTTTAAAAACAGGTGTGTTCCCAAAGTCTGCTCGCAAGTTGGCTGCTTGGAATTCGAGCTATTTTCTTCCTCCACAAATAATGTTTGTTCCATGCAGGATTTGGTACCAAGAGAGAACACAAAAGATCCCTTCCAGGGTATGCTGAGGGTTCTGTGGACCTAGACAAGGACGGTGGGTCAAGGATGGTGGCCTTGGAAGAAAGTACACTCAGGGCACCTTCTGGCCAGGGGACAAGACATGCTGGGCTCAGGTAACTCACTGGTGACAGTTCCTCCCCCCGCCCTCTAGAGGGGCCGCCCAGGAGGCTGGGGACAGGCTACAGCCCCTTTTCTGCTCAGCTCCTGGCCTCTGTGTAGTTCTTTTCCTGACCCCCGGGATGGCAGGCTTGTTTGTTCTACGGCCACCAGACCAGTGGCTTCAGTCAGCCCTCTGAGGCCATGGAAATGGTCCCTCCTGATTTCCTGGCGTGAAAACACACATAATGCTTGCTCTTGGAAGTTTTCATGGGATTTTTCTTGCCATTCATCTAGACGCAAATTAAGCGGGTAGACATACACCACAGTGTAATGGAAAAACTGCCTTAGCACACTAAACTAGAACCCACCCAGAAGACCACTCTTCTCTCCAGTGCAAACATAAATACATGGCAGTCTGCAGCTTTTGGCCCTTGACCAAAATCAAAATGACCATGAAAGGTAAACATCTGGAATTAGTGCAAGGCAGCTGTAACAGTGCAACTAAAGACACTCACGAAAGAGGACTTACAGAACTGCTTCAGAAAGTGGCAAGAATGACGAGTAAGTGCACTCAAAGTGAGGGGTAGCATTCTGGAGGGGATCGATATCACTGTGTCTTTTACTGTATATATTATATACATACTTACACAGGATTTATGCCCTATATTTGATACACACTACATAATAGTTATACACTATATGATATAACTTAGATATTAATTACTACATATACTCATATACATGATATACATCCACACGCAGATGAAATATATTTGCATAAGGAAAGTCTTAATAAACCTCAAACACCAAGGCCACTGACATGACTCTGTGAGTGGTTCACGCACAAATCTGAAAATCAAGGATCTCTGAACCAGAACGGGCAAGCGGTGTGTGTTGAGCATGGGGAAGGAGAGAACACCCAAAACACAGACCCTCTCAGCCACCTGTTGTCATGGGGACACAGGAGTGAGGTGGAGCTTCTCATGTGGAGGCGGCCCCTACACTTGGGTTCACGGACACAGACAGCCGCAACTTACTGGGACTTCAAATGCTTCCTGGGTGTCATCCAGCATCTGAATTTTGATGGACACGAGCTTTCCTGAAGGTGTTGGCGGCGGCTTCTGTCCACGCTCCAAGGTGCTGATCCCTGAATTCTCGGCGGCCCCCAGGCGAGACCCTGGGGTGGGCTTCTGCTCTATCTCTCCCATGATGGAAGTAGCTTATATTATACCTGCAGGAAGTGGCGAGAAAGAAAAGTACATTAGGAGAGAAGACT